AAAGCCTTTCTGCCCCTGCAGGAGAGAAGAGATGCCCATACATTAGGTTCACCAAATGCTGTTCTTATTTTTGAGATAAAAGAAAGAAAAGGTGATTGGATCTAGATTTCTATTGAGAAAGATTCAGGAAGCATATGCTAATTATCTACAGGGTGTCCCCAAAGTCGCCATACATAGGGAAAATGGGAAATTGTAGGTAAATGTACCTGTGTTTGCAAAATATTCATTATAAAATTTTACAAAATTTTTCCTCTATATGGAGACTTTTGGACACCCCGTATAAATAAAAAAATAATGGGCTGTGAGACTGTGCTGGTTTTTCTCCAGTTACCTCCCCTCCACCCCACATCAGATCCAATCCCGCTCTGCTCTGTACCCTTTGAGCCCGCAGGGTGGCGATGGCTTCCTGGGGTCACTAGTGTCTGGGTGTCACCTGCTCCCTTGTTCCTACTCTTGACTCCGCCCTCCTCTGTAATGGTACCATCGTTAATGGCGCTTCATCCGAGCCATCACAGAGGAATTTTCTTCCTTGCCTGACTAATCGTGTCTAGAATTTTTTTCCTTAAGAAACACGTAAGCACCAGGAAGCTGGCCCTCTGTTTACGTCTTCTGAGGCTCTTTATTTGTCAGAAATGACAAAACTAAGACCCGAGTTGCAAAGGCGTTCAGCCGGACCCCGTCAGCTCTCCAGATGAGATTAGCTATTCCCTGTGCAGCCTCTCACTGGGGGTAATGACTGCGGACCAGTGATCCCCACCTCCCAAAGCCTGAGATGCTAAAATTTTCCACAAGCCTCTGGCAATTTCCGACAGGGTCACTCTTGTTGCTTAGAGGCTTGATGATGATTCCGTGTTCTGAACATGGCAAAGTGAGCCCTGGAGAAATAAAACAAACCATTATTAGTCTTAATTTCCCTCGTAATCTAATTTTCTGGAAATATTTCAGGACTTATTATTGGCTTGAGGCAGTGGCCTAGACCTTTTTTCTAGGTCACAGCAGTGGTTACAGAATTGTTTACTGCCCAGGATCCCAGGAAACAGCAAAGGGCTCTCAAGGATGCCCAAGTCCGTTAGATGCAGGACCCCGGGCAGCAAGGGCAGACTCGGAGGTGGGCAGAGCATGTTACAGAGGAGAACTTAAAAGATTAGCTCGGTTTTATGAAATTTAGAAGGCTGATGGTTTTTTTGTTTTGTTTTGTTTTTTGCTTGAGAAAAGAGATGAGGATAAAAGTTATTAGAAAGAAGATGCAGTATTAAGTGGGGGCAAGCTAGAAAAATCAGTGATCCCTGGCAGGTTTTCAAAGGTTTGCACAGAAATGAGAAAAATGCTATTTTCGTGACTTCCTTTTGTAATCAGCTAAATTTATTCAATTTAAAGATTTACATTTTATTCTGAGGTTGTGGGTTTTTCTTATGTTTTGTGATATTAC